GAAAAATTATTAATTAATTTTTTTTTTTGTCAATGAAAAATATTTATAAAGCAGAAATTGTTTTTTAAAGTTTATGTTTTTTAAGTTGAAAGAGATCAAACATATACAACGACGGAAAAGTATATTAATTTGTTTATATAATTTATCAATTTAATTTATATAATTTAAGACATATAGAATATATTTACAATTACACATATGTGGTATACTTGTAGATAGTTTAAGGCATAATATTTGTGTTAGTATTTTTTTGTGGTTTAGAATGTTGTTTTTTTGTTTTTTGAGTGTCTGTAAATTGTTTAAATTATATCTATTAATTTAATTTACTTTAATCATAAATATAACTAAATAATATTTTGCTATTTTGTATATTGTGCTATGTTTTGCAGTTGTTCTAATTAATATTCCCGTTGAAGATCAATCAATAAGGCCTGCTTTGTTCATATATAGTAGTGTTCAAATATTTTAAATATGTATTATTTCAATATTATCGATACTCGTACTTTACGTCATAACTTTACGTCAATCATTAAAACAATCAATACAACAATTTCACAATCAATAAATTATTCAGTCAATTAATAAATGAATTAATTGTTTTTTTTTAACTTTTGGATTTGCGAAATTTCTCTAACTGCTTCAATACAAGCTCGCCAAAAAACAATCAACTTTACTTTAATTTGCAATCAATTCTAAGTCACTCTATATTCCTATATATGTATGTATACATATATGTATATATATATATATAAAACTTCAATAATTCTTATATACGTTTTTTATTTCACTATTAATGAAGCTACAATTTTTCATTTGCAATACCAACTTTTTTCAATAATTCACTTGACGATTATGTCTCTATTTTTGCAATTTTCATACGAAATTTTTCTACATTTCATTTTTCTATTTTACGCTATTTTCTCTATTTTGCTATTTAATTAATTTATTTTATTTATAAATATTCTATTTAGTTTTATAAATCGATTAAATTTATATTTTATTTTATTTATATTTGATATTAAAATAAATGATATGATTTTTGTTATAATTTTTATTTAAGTTTAATTTTTTTTGCAACTTTCGAAGTTAACTTTTGTTTTTTACAAAAAAAAAAATTAATTTTAAATAAATTTTTGTTTTACTTAATCAAAATAATTTATATAATATATTTAAAATTTAAGTTTAATATTTTTATTGAATTTTATTTTAATATATGTTAATTTTAAATTAGATTAATAAATTAAAAATAAATTATTAAATCATAAAAATTTTTCTTTTTATTTGCAACATGGCAGTGATGTCTTGAATTTGTATATTTTGTTTTCTTTATATATATTTAATATATATTTATTTTAAATTTAATAAACAACTAAAATAGGAATTACAAATCTTAAATTTTATAGATAATGTACTTTTAATTTACATAGAATATAACTATTTTCTTATAGAATTTTATTTTATTTTTATGAAAATTTTAGTTGTTTGTTTTGTTAAAGTTATTACAATCATTTATGAATATATATATATATATATTTATTTATTTTCTAAATTCTGAAAAAGAAATTATAAGAGAAATAAATAAAATAAAAAACATAAATTAAATAAAAAAAATTATTAAAAATTAAATTATATTTTATCATACCACAGAAATCATTATGAATAATATATATAAATAAAAATATTAGAAAATAAATTAGAAAAAAATAAATGAAATCAAAAAATTATTAAAAATTATATTTTATCATATTAAATAAATCATATTAAATGATATGTTTTAATTTAAATATATACATATGTATATAATATTATAATAAAATAATAACTATATGAAAATAACTTTAATACTTGTATAATTTTAAATTAATATACATAAAAATGATTTGCTGTTTAATTAAATATAAATATATATATATATACACATATTCATAAAAATATTTTTTTTTACAAATTAAATCAATTTAGCTTTCCCTCTTTATTAACATTCATTAATTTATTAATATGTTTTTATTTAATTTTTATAATAATTTAAATATACATGCATTTATTATAAAATATTTCATTACTTTATATAATCATTTATATATAATTTATATTAAATTATATTATATATTTTTATTTTAGAAACTTACTCAAATATTACAAGTATTTATACATTTATATAGTAAAATTTATATAAAAAAAAATGCAAAAGAACACATAGAAGTAGAAAAGATTTAATAAAAATTTTTTTTTTGAAAAGATTTTGAATATGTATCTTAAATTAGAAATTCTTGTGAGGCATATATATAAATTTTTTAAGAATTAAGGACTAACAATCAGTTAAGCCTGTACGCATGATGTCTATAGATTGTGGATAAATAGTTTAAAATAATTTTATACTGACCTTGTGATTAGTTGAAAATATATATATTGAAATTAGTTGCTTAACTATATAATATCCGGTAATGAATTTAAACTCGAAACTATGAGTAAATATTACTATTTATTGTGAAAGTAGAACTGATGGAATCATCCTAAGTTCATGAAAAAATGATAATAGATTTTAAGATCGCAATGGAATATTCCCTCCTAATATTACTAATATATTAATACACACACATATATATAAATATATATATATATTATATATATATATATATATTATATATATATATATATATAATATATATATATATATATATATTAACCATAAAACTATTAATATAGAAAGAACTAAATTTAGTCAGCTTTTATAACAAATGTATAAAAAAATTATACAGATGGGTTAATGAGGAAAATAGATGAAGATTGAGAGAGAGTTAATGCTGAGAGAAGAAAAAATAATTTTACTGTAGAGATGAAAAAAAAATAAATAAAAAGAAAAGAAACTAAAGTATAAAAAATAAAAAAAAGAAGAAGAAAAAAAAAGAAATAAAAAAAAGAAAAGAAAATAAAAGAGAGTGATCTGGTAGTCAAAATTTGAACAAGAGCTTTGGTAATAAATTAGTAGCGAAAGGATTGAAAAAGTAATATAAGAATATAATATAAAAAAAAATAATAGATTTTTGATTTTCCTGTCATAAGTCTTAGTCGAGGTATATATAACGAAGAAGGTTCTATATATTGCAATTTATTACTCTTAGCTTTTAAATGGTAAATAAATTAAGAAAAATGAAAAAAATGAAACTTTGAAAATATATTTTATGGAAAGACATACCAAAAAGCCACTCTTCAAATTCATACGTTGTTTGATCCTCCAGATTAAAATTTCCAAAACTCGACTACTTTATGTATGGAATAATGGTGCTTCCTCAAAAATCTATTTTATATCATAAATATTTTTTTAACCTTTAATATATCTAAATTATTATTTAATAAAAGGCAGTTTTTGAATCTTGGAAGTTTTATGTTTCAAATTCGTTATATTTTTCACATTTTTATAAAGCAAAATTCAAAAATTATCATTAATTATAAAACCAAAAACAAAAATTGCTTCCATACAATGTCTATATTGATCACCGCGCTATAATTTTTTTAAAATCTGTGGTTCTTCAAACAACATGTCTTCAAATATGGAATGGTTATTAAATATTTTATAATCTAAAGTTCACAACAGGCTTTGCTTCCTAACAATCTCTTTTAGTTTTAAAAACTATTCCTGAAGTTACTTACATGCGTACCAGCTTTCCTTCCTTCTTTGTAGGTCTCCTACGGGATATATCCCGGGTATAATAATTTTATTTCAGCGTAAAATTAAAGCACGGTTGAAGGCATATTCAAACCAATATTTACCAATAATTATGATATAAGCGCAGTCAAGAGCTAATAATTATTATTCATGTATAATATATACATATATGTACACATACATATATATATATATACATATATTTATAAAGATGGGAAAAGTTGTGAATTTGTGGGCTTAAGACTTCTAAATTTAATATTGCTAAATAGTGTTGTTCCTTTCTTCCTTCTTCCTTCACTGCTTTTCACTGCTATTCACTTCTAATATTTTTATATATATTAATAATTTTTTTTCCTTTTTATCTTATATATTATTAATGTTATATTGGTACAATTTGACTAGATTTATATATTTATATATTATTATTGTTATTTATGTTTATACGTTTTTAGTGTATATATATTTCTTAATGTATGTATATGAATATATATACATATATAAATATGCACATGTCTATAAATATTATAATTATGTAAAATAAGTTCACTATATGTTCAACTAATTTATATACAATTACAATTATTAATTAATATTAATTTTTTACTATATAAATACTTTAATTGTTAATTAATTTTAATTTAAATAACTAACTATTAACTGTTACATTAATTATTTATAAATTAAATTTTTAAGATTTTAACTACTCAACTTTTTATTTTATTCAAATATTTTTATTTTTTTTATTTATAATTAAACCATTTATATATATATATAAGTATATATATATAAATTATTTTAATATTATTTTTGCTATTGAAAATGAATATGTATTTTGTTGATTGTTTTGCGTGTTTATTTGTATGAGTATGTTTTGTAAATGTGTGAGTGTCTCTATATATATATATTAATTTCAGTTTTAAATATTTTATTTATGCCTATAAATTGTGAAATATATATATATATGTATATATATTAATTTTGTTCTATATAATATATTTTATTTTTATTTATTTTTCTAATGACATCACAAATGTATGAACAATTTTTCACGATATTTTCATAGTTTTAGTTTATTTTATTTATAATATTTTTAATATTTATTAATTTTTTTTATCAAAGTTTTTCTTTATCAACAATTCTGTGGGTTCAATAATTTTATGTATTTAATTGAAATATGAAAATTAAATTAAATTTAGAGTAAGTATTTTTAATTAATCAAAAAAGCAGCATTCAGCAAATTTTGTAATATTTTTTAGTTCAAGTTATATTTTTATTTTATTAATTTCTTTAGTAGAAAAGAAGGAATTATTTATATAATAAATGAGTTGATTTCTTAAAAATAAATACTTTGAGGTTTTGATAGTTAAAAATTTACAAGAAAAAATTAGAATTGATTTGAGTAATACTTTTCGCTTACTGAGTTTAGAAAAAGCTCTTTAAGAATCCCGCTGGTCCGGCCTGAAACAAAAAAAATTTATTTAATATTATTATGTGTATATGTATACATATTATGTATGGTATATAAATATTTAAAAATTTTCTATAAATATTAAACTACTTCTAGTTACTATTTCTTGAGTAACTATAATCATTTAATCATTATGATCACGGTTGCCACTTATGGTACTTTAGTACCAAAATTGGTACTTTTTTTTTTTTTTTTTCGTTTGGTACTCACGTTCAAAAAATGGTACATTTTTGACGACCCAACTTTATTGTGGATATTTCCAATTAATTTTTTTTATAAAAAAATTTTGGACCTTTTTTTACAGAAATGGTACCTTTTTAAACCAATTTTGGTACAGAAAAAAATTTTCAAGTGGCAACCGTGATTATGATGCAGTTTTCGACCCATGTTCTTATCATAAGCGATGATACTAACCCGCGATCTCTCGGTCTAATTAATAATATTATGGGATCGTATGTTATATTTTAGTACAGAATGGTATTTTTTTTTATTAAAAGTACGTTATGGTGTAGTACAGTATAGGTATAGAGATATACAGTATGGTATAATATAGAACGGGGATCCTGGGGAAGAAAAGTGACAGATGCTTTTTAAAGTAACTAACTCTAAATTAGTTTATGTATCACCCATTTTGTCAAATATGTAAATTTTTTTTTTTTAATGACCAATAGAAAAAGGTAACAATAATAATAGCTAAAGCTTATCGCACTGATTGAGGTATCAGTCTTGTGACAGATTTACTCATAGGTCATTGCATATTAGAAAACCATACTAAAAGTTTGAATCTCCCTTTTAATTATATCTGTTGCAGTTGTGGAGACGACAATATGATCCGGAAATGTCCATGTTTTAAATACACCCATTTGTCTGTTGTTGAATTGAATTAAAATCAATTAGATATGCATACAATATTGGTCATACTTCCGATTGGGTGTGTGAACATAATATAATTTTATAAACATGACATATGAGTTGGAAACGTGATTCCAGCTATTGAAATTAAATTTTATAATACAATTAGTATTAAACACAATTCCACTGTTGCCATTATACTTATTTAACGTTTTCTTCAATTATACTGAGTGAGAATTTTAAATGAAAATAATGTCTATATATACAAGCGTTGCATAATATCTTCAATCATTGACAACGAAGCAAGGTATATGCAATACAAGTTGAAAATAAAACAAATTGTAACAATATACTAACAAATTGGGCACATGGTGACGCAAATCACACTTCTTTATCTGTTAAATCATGTAAAACAGGTGTTCATTTCAGGGTAATCTTGCGAAATATCCATACTCTGACGAAATATCCTTACTGTTATAAATTAATCTCAAGTGTTATATAGATTTTCCAATCACAAATGAAAGTTGCATTAGAGTGTTATAAATTTATCTCGATTGTATAAACGTTTTCCCTAGATTTACCAATTGAAAGCCCACATAAGTGTTATTTTATCTGTATATAAATAGGAGCGCTTTTTGCGATGATTATAACTAATCTATTATAATAAGCTTGGTTAGTTTTCGGTTTTGAAAATATTTAAATTTAAACATCAAATTGTTTTTTTAATAGATGTCTATCAAGTATACATAGCAAATTTATTCATAGCTATTTATGACAATATAACATTAAAATTAGTATCAAACATAATTCAATTGCTACCTTTACACTTATTCAAGTCTCTCTTCAACCATAACCTTCGTATACTTCGATTTTTCGCCGTTTTGCTACCATATTCCTCGCAAAAACCCCTAGTATAAAAGAGTAGAGACTAAATCAATTCCGTCGAATTCAGATAATTTAATAGGTCTTTCGTCCTCACCGATGAACAGTTTGATAGACTATAAAAGAAGTTTCTTCCTAAACACCTAATTCTTCTCGACGCCAGAGCCGGACATTCACAGAGAAAATGTATTGTGGTTTCCCTTTCCTGAGGGTTTTCACAACTTCTGCAGTGAAGATTATAAGGGTTAAACAGTTTCTCTGTTTGGGTTCCTAAACACCAATGACTATAGAGAACTGCAGTAAGCCTTACAGTGTTTACGCGGTCTCTTTTGATGAGTTCCGAGGAATGTATTATATGACATACTAATATTTTTATACTAAACGCTGTTCACAAAAATTGAACAATGGTTTAAACGAATCCTAAGATCATATCAAAATCAACTTATAAATATTTGGAACAGATTATATAGTAATAAAGAAAAGTCTACTATTAAATTTTTATTACTTACGTCTTGTTGTTGTTGCGTTTGTGCTTGTTTTACTTTTGCTTGAGCGATCTTTAAAGCTCTAAAATAAGAAGAAAAAAGAAATATATGATTAATTAACGACTTTAAGAATGTGTTGAAAATAAAAAAAATTGTATTGGTCACGTACTGTTGTAAGTCCATAATTGTTTTCTCCTTGGCATTCTGTTCTTCTTGTGACATTTGCACCAGTTGCAATAATCTCTCGGTTTCGGTTGTCGCTTTTTTGTGCTCTTCCTTGGTATTCTGCAGTTCTTTGATGCATCTATTAATAAGAATTATTAAGGAATTATTAAAATACTTCATAAGTATACATCGAGCTGTACTTACGCTTCCAATTGTCTTTGGGTGTCCATAAGTTTTTTGTTAAGTTCGCCTGCTGCGGCTGCACCACCGCCTTGTGTTTGCAGTGATTTCTCCAATTGGTCCATTTGTTCTTTCCGTTTGCGTAGTTGGACATCAAAGTCCGCCATTTTCTTCTCCTTCTCTTCGATATCCTTGCGTTTGGCTTCAATTTGTTTGCGTTGCTCTTCAATAATCTTACGTTCGCTCTCGGTGGCTTTCGCTTGATTATCGATTTGCTTACGCACTTCTTCCAGTTGCTTCTGCTGTTGCTCCAATTGCTGTCGTTGCACATCGGTTGCTGCAGCGCCAGCATTTCCAGCTTGTTGCAATTGTTGCATTTGCTGCTGTAACATTTGTATTTGCTGTTGCAACTGCTGCACCTGCTGTTGAGCGGCCTGCAATTGCTTGGCTTGTTCCTGATTTGCAACCTATAAAAAATAATGGAAATGCAGAAATGTATATATAGGTATATTATATGTTGTAAAATTTAGTTTGTTTGGCATACCTGACTCTTCTCCAGTTCCTGTACCAGCAACTCCAATTGTTGTTGGAAGCGATCCCGTTCCACACACGCGGCTTGCATTTCACTTTTAACTTTCTCCAGTTCCTTTGCGTGCTCTTGCGTTGGCGGTTGTTGTTGTTGTTGTTGTTGTGCCATTTGTTGTTGCATTTTCTGCATTTGTTGGTGTTGTTCTTTAATGTGTTGGTCCATCAACTATAAAATGGAGGTAGTTAGAATATTTTTATTGGGGTTATGGTAAAATGTGTGATGATATACGAACCTGTATACGTTTATGCATTTCTTGTGCTGCCTTGTCTGCCATATCTGCTTTGTTCTTCTCGGCTTCAATGACCTTACGCCATTGTTCGAGTTCTTCACGACTAGCGCCACCTGCCGCTGGTGCGGCTGTTGCGAGTGCCTTTTCGGAATCCTGCAATTTCTGTTGAAGTAGTTGTATTTCCTTTTGCATGGCTTGTATTTCGGCTGGTGCTGCTGGTGCCACAGGCTGGCCGTTTCGTAACTTTCTGTTCTCTTCTCGAGTGCGCTGTAGTTCAGTTTCAGCATTTTGCAGTTCTTTTTGGAAATTCATTAAAATTTCTTGACTCTTCTCCAACTGTAAAACCAATTGTTCTCGTTCCATGGCCAATTGTTTGCAATCAGCTTCTAATTTTTGTATATGTTTCTCAATCTGTGGATGCGGTTTATCACCACCATTTCTACTCTGTCGTAATGTTTCCTTTTCTGCTTCCGACTTCTCGAGACGGTCATGGAGGCGACCAAGTTCGGCGGACATACGTTCGAATTCAATGCGTGTTGATTCGTTGGTCTCTTGTTGTTTGGCTAAATGCATTTGAGCTTTTTCGAGTTCCTTTGCGAGGCGTCCTGCTTCCAGTTCTGTAGCATCACGCGATTGTAGTGCTTTTTCGAGTCGATCACGCAATCTATCGATCTCTTGACGTTCTCCTGCTGACATAGATGCTCGTACTGAATCAGCCGGACTAATAGCTGAAGACGATTGCAGGCGTAGTCTTTCAACTTCTTTAAGTAGTTTCTCATGTTTGTCGCGTGCTTTTTCACGCTCAATGTGTGCGCGTTCCAATTCACTGCGCTGTTTCTCTTGATTCGCCAAAAGTTTGGCAACTTCTCCTTTGGATAGTTCGAGCTGCAGAGTTGTCTCATGCAATTTAGATTCCATATTCTGTATTTCATGCTCAATCTTATCATATTTATCTTTATATTTTTCAAAGGATTCGGATTCATATTGTGATTTGCCACGTATTGTTTCAAGTTCCATGAGCGTTTTATCGAGTTTTTCACGCAAACGCTCGTTTTCTTCTTTAAGGCGACGTGTTTCTCGACCGAAAGTATCGGTATCTTGTAATTTTCTAAGCTCAGTTTGACTCTTTTCATATCGATCGCGCATTTTCTCCAACTCAACTGCATAGTGTGCAGCTTCTTCTTTGGCAGATTCCACACTGGCGCTTGCTTTGCTTTGTGCTGCGTGTGCTCGCTCCAATTCATATGACACGCGTTCCAACTCAGATTGTAAATGTTCCTTCTCACCTTGTGCGCGTCGTAAGTCTGTTTGCAACTTATCGAATCTTTCACGATTGTGTTCGAGTTCACCGCGTGCATTATCTTCACACTCCTTTGCTCTACTGAGTTGCAAGGCAGCTCTATCACAAGCTTCTTGTAAACGTGTACTTTCCTCTTGCAATTTACGTAAGTCTTCACGTGCTTTCGAAGCAGCTAATGACGACCGTTCCGCCTCAACCTCGAGGCGTGCACGATCTGCTTCTGCGGTATCACAACGTGATTGCAGACGATAAATTTCATTCTGCGCACGGTCGTATTTCTCAAGCATCTTCTCGAATTCCTTGTTCGAAGTGTCTTTCTCATCAATCAGTTTCTGGCTGGCGTAAAGAGCTTTGTCTAGTTTCTCCTTAAGAATTTCCACCTCTGTCACTGCGTCATCGCGTTCCATCTATAAGTATGTCAAAAGATTGAAAGAAATTGTTTTAGTTAAAATGTTAAACCGTGAGAGTTTGATTATGTGTTGAAGTTGTTTCAAGCACAATTTTTAGAAGCTACAGTTCACAAACAGCCAATTCAAAATAATTTTCAAAACATGCTCAAAACGCGGTTTATTGAAATTTTGTCATCGTTTTTTCTTTTTATATTTTCATTGGAATACTTCTACCTTCTGCTAAGCTTGCATTTGCATATGCATTCTATGCGATAAATATTACCTGTAGTTTCTGTTGTATGGCGTGCGATTTCTCGTAACGCTCCTTGAGCACCTCCAAATCGGTTTGCATTGCTTCTCTATCACGTGCTGCTTTCATAAGCAACGTTTGCGATGATTCTGAACGCTCTTTCAGTGTTTCGAGTTCATCAGAAAATTGATCCCGTTCTTTCTGGACGCGTGCTAGTTGCATCTACGTTAGTGTTCAATAACAAGTCGACAAATATTTACAACATTAAAGATACAACATACACATTTACATATCATATCATTATCATATCATATCAATAGTATTATAGTTATAGATATATTATTGGATATATATATATATATATACACGTATATACAGGTTTGTTCAGTAAGACAGTTTGTGAAGACAGATATCTGAGGAAAAGAGAAAGAACTTATGGGTGATGATGACTTATTAAATATACATAGGTATGCGATTATGTACTTATTCAGTTGGGAAAGATAATCGAAAATTACCAAAGTAAAAACTTAAATTAAAATTAACGCGAAAACGTATATAGAAACAGAACAAGTAGTAAAGAAACGATACCTGATATGAGGTAAGGAATAGGTATTTGAAGAATTTTGAAAATACCTAATAGGTATTGGGTAGTATTTTTTCTGTAGAAAAACCAAAAATTAAGTTCGTTTAAAAAAGCACAGGGAAAAATTATTTAAAAGCAGATATAACAATTTCATAAATTTATACAAGATTAAATTATTAATTTGAATAATTAAATATTTTATTAAAAAATATTAATTAATTGTATAAATAAAAAGAATTTTTAAAGCTGAAATTTCATATAAGTAAGCAAAAACATAAAGATAGTATGCACAGAAAGCCAGATACATTTTTTTACAGAACCCTATTATATATAGTACTCTTGAGATATACCATTAATTGTTAAAGATAACATATATAACTTTAATTTGATTTTGAATTATAAACTGCTACATATAAGATTTCCAGGTTTGCAGCTCTATTTTTAAACATATATCAAAATTGTTATTATAGACGTTACGGGTTCGAACCAAACACTATTTTTGCATATCTTAAAATTTATTCTATGACCGAAACAAGTTGGTATTAATTAAAAATTTTTTATATCTAAAGACATTGTATATCCGATTAAGACTGGAATCAATTAGTATTTATATCTAACGACTATATATATATCCGATTTAAATTTCAAAAAATTTGCACAGAATTCATAACCTTAAAACCTTTATTCGTACTAAGGATTAATTAGAGATAATCTATATAGTACTATGTCTATCAAAGATATTTAAGGTACTTGCCTCAATAAATTTCTGCTTTATATCTGCTTTAAGAAAAATTTTGAATTATCAAAGACACACTACAAATTTCATATAAAAAATTCAATTATATTTTTCTTATATATTTGAATCACTGCATCTTGTCATCTTAACAAAACATCCTACTTATTTATTATCTATAATAGTAACCTGTATATACGCGTATTTATTACTTTACGATAGAAATAGAAAATACATTGCTGTTAGTATATAGTACATAAAACAAGTTTCAAATCATATAGTAGTGATTTATAATATATATAGTCTAAGTTAGTGATTTACTTAGTTACTTTATATACACTATCTAACCATAAGCAGTCAACTTATACGAGTATACGTGTAGAGGCTACCCGAATTCGCTACATACCTGAGTTTTTTCTAATTTCTCCCGTATTCTGTCAGTGTCAAGTGTTAAGGTTTCGCGTTCTTTTTGCATACGTGCTGCTTGTCCTAATGCCTTATCCAACTGAGACTGTAAATTATCATAATCATAGGTGAGTTTCTCTTTTTCGAGCACCAAACGACGATTTTCGGTGCCAGCCTTATCGAGTTTCTCTTGCAAATGATCGACTTCGTTTTGTGCTTTGTCGAGTGAGTTCTGAAGTTTCTCCTGTTGTAACTGTGCTTTACCCAAAGTGGCTTGCGTGCGTTCCATTTCTTCTTTCATTTTTTCAACCTCAGCGAAGGCCTAAATTTGTTTGTAGATCATAAAGTTTTACGATGGGTGGTGCAAGGTCTTGAACAATATAACTCATAGGCAAATACGAGATTGTCATATAAGAAATTTTATTTTCTAAGTTATTGAATACTAATTTTGACAACTGATATTTTACTTTGTTTATTATGAATTTATTTTTCAGAAATATTATTCATTTCTCTCTATTCTTTAATGAGTGTATTTAAATATTAATTGACTATCGCACTACCCAAATCATAGTAAACTCAATTTATTAAATCCTCAAATGTAAAAAAAAAATTTGGGAAAATGATTATGCTTATAAATGAAGTAAATGTAAATTAGTGTTATATATTTTTTAGATCCCTACCAAAATTAACATTACTATTCAGTAGTGTTTTGAAATCATTATAAAAAGTTATACACTTTCTGAGCTTAAAAAAATTATTTATTATTATATAGATAATATCAACATTATTCAACATAATCGACCTATCGAGCTTCCTATTTGTTGATATTATTAAAAAAAATCGGTTCAAATAGTAGTGTTAGTGAATTTTCAGGATCCCACCCATTAAAAATATAAATATACTGAAAACTGCTTATAATGAATTATATGTCATTGTCAAAGTAAAGGAAGATTAAATTCTGATCTTGGAAATGTCATTGAGTGATTTAAAGTTTGGGGAGCCTAAAAGCTTAAGCCTAAATTTGGGTGCGTTTGGATATGCATAAGCCTGAACACAGACACAATCTATGGAGTCTTTTGCACAAGCGCCGATACACACGATCTTATTTTCCCGCTGTAAAATATGCATTAAATAGTAAAGAAATATCAGATGACATACAGTGTCAATAGGGTCCATATACATATAAGTTGTCTGCGGAAGTATTTTGTAGTATTTAATGAAAAAATGTTAATACTATGTTTTTAGTGCAGTTAGTTAGCATATTAATAATATTTTTATTTTCGCTTTTTTTTGTTTACAGGAATGGCCTCTATTGCCTTATTGTGGAAATTATAAACAGGTAAGTTTTGCAAAATAAACTTTTTTTATATTTTTCTAGACTTTAAACTAATTAAGCTTATTTATTTTTTTATTATTTTATCATTGAGTTCGTAAATAAATGAATTAAAATATCAGACATAAATTTATAAGAACTTAGTGTTTTTATTTCTTTACTAACTTTAAACAACCTATTGAAATAGTTTTGCTTTGTAATATCTGATTATGATCCTTAAAATATTTTATTTTTCGAAGACTGAGACTACAAATATAACTTTTCAAAAAAAAGGGAATTTTTGAAGGAATTAACTGTCGTAGGGAAATTTATATATAAACTGACATTTTATATGAATAAGAATTTTTACGCTTCCATGTTCTACTTTTTTCTACTCTTTCAAAATATGTTTATATATTTTTGTTTAGTTTTAATTTGTATAAATTTTTAATTTGTGTAACAGAGAGAACTGCTAAGTGTCAAAGTATAATACTTAGAGTGTACTTATAAAAATCAAGAGCAAGTATAAGTGCGTATGAGTACTTTCTTATGCTGCTATTTATACGCACTCATACTCACCACCACAAAAAAGAAAAAGCGAAAAGAGATGACTCGACTATTGAGTACTTATTGCAATTCTCTAGTGTATAAACTACTGGGATATGGACCGCCAATGTAATGGAAACACTAACCGATATTTTCTATTGACGGATATATCGTTATTACGTTATATAAATATCGCTTCAGAGAACTATGATTAAAAATTGTTATTATTTATAAACCAAATATTCATATTAAATTTTTGTTACACAGAATTATTCTTTTAATACATTATACTATATCAGTTATCAAAAATATTTAAGTTTCAAAAAAAGAAATAATATCCTCGTGCCTTTCGCCATATGATTAAAAAAATTAAATACCCTATCTCGGTCTGCATGTATGCGGGATACACTGCTCTGCGATTTTTCCAATTCTTGCCGCAGACTCTCTTGTTCACCTTGCGCATTCTCAAGCTTGGCCTTCAGTCGATAAACTTCACCTTGACTCTTTTCAAGTTTCTCTTGTAATGCGGTGGCTTCTTCACGTGCCCGTTCTGCATCCGACTATAGTTTAAACACGCATTGGAAAACACGCATCGAATATTTAGCAATGGGTGTGTGCATTTTGGGAAATAGAGAGAATTATATATTTTATTAAAATCCCAAAATTCATGGTGTTAAATGATAATTTGCACAAGAGGTTAACAAAATTGAACTACTCTTTACTGCTAGTTAAGAGAGGCACAGTAGACAGACAAACGAAACAGGCTACCATTAACAAATGCAGGCGTTCGATAATGAGACCTTTCTGATGGGTGCAATAAATTTAACAGTGCGCTTAATTAATTATTTTTTTGTTAGTCATATCCACTAATATATAATACTAAGGCATAAGTTATAGTTAAAAAAAAATTTAGAAAAATATTTATTTACTGCATTTGCTACTGGCTCAGCAAAAGCAATTTTAGGAAATTATAAACAAGAACAATAGGAGCATAATTAATTATAAACATATTTATATTAGGTAAATGAAGAGAAAGTCGAAATTATATACTTAATATGTAAAATTAGATGAAAAAAGTGCTTGTGAAGAAGAAAGTAAAATAGTATAAATATATGTTACATAAGGAAAAGTAATAATGTACAGATAAATGCAAATCTTTTAAGTATTGTATTAAAGTTGAAATAAAAGCATGTATGAAGAAATATGTAAATATAGGTTTAGAGTGCTAACGATGCAATGTTGCCACATGCCACAAAAACTTAAATGGTAATACATTTTGTTTTTTTTTTATTGTTTCACAAAAAAGATTGTTGTGTTAAACTGTTACTTAGTAGTGTTATTGGCGATATTTTAATATTATCTCTCCATTAGATAATATATAACTATATACCTTTTAGATGATATCGCTGTGTCTACTGATTTCACTGCTATAACTTTTAACTCGAAGGATCTCTAATTTGCCGTAAAATTTTTTTAAAAGTATATTTTAATATTGAATGCTCTATTAAACATCAAATTTTATTTTTTGTGTTATAAATACCGAAAGTCGGGATTTTCCCAAAAAATCTGGAGTTTACAACTCTAGTGAGACTATAGTTCTAGTGTTACTATATTTGTATATAATACAAAACCATAAGTATAAAAGTAGTACAAAGTACAAAAGTAAGTACATAAGTACAAAATCAATACAAACCATATACTTATAACCAAACTGAAGTAACAAAAAAAAAATATTGGAAACGCAATTGGGATTCCTAGAGGTATATAACAACATTGCTTTACTGATAAGGAGATAAGACCTACAAGATTCTGAGTACTTTAGTACATCGGTAGTGACCTAAAGTACGAAAGTTAAATGACAATTTAACGATGTGAATTATTCATGGAACAACGGCCTTTTCTATACCCATAACACATTTCGATTTAAACTAAGAGGCGATCTAATAATAGAAGATCTTATTACCTTATTTCATTTCTTATCTTATGCTATCTTGTAATAGCAATCCTAACTGATTGGCAAAAATAAGCAGCTATGGTTTCAATAGGTTTCGAATTTTGTTGCAATCTCCATCAGGGGAATGGAAAACAAATTTGTCAAAATGCAAATCATTATATCGTCATTATTATGTGATGTTATTTCTTTTCATCCATTTGGAAAGTAAAGGAGCAATAAGTAGATCATAAAGGATAAATTATTACCATATACAATAAAATTAGAAAGTTAACCTAAGGATACTCCCAGGTTTCATTAGAAAATTAATAATACTTCGAAGTGCATTCTAGGATGTTGTCCAGCATTGTTACACAAATGAAAGAAATACTAAATTTCGTATCTTATAAATAGAATAAAGAAGAAAGACTTTACAAAGTGAGTTCGATGCCATTACTTAGTAAGGAAATTTTGCTTCATAAAATACTCTAATCCATGAATCCATTGATTGAAAAAGCTGTACTTCAAGATTTACTCTGAATCCATACAGTGGAAAAAAATGAGATTGGAAATTTCGCTTTAGAAATATTTTGATTCATAAAAGAGTCGCACTAGATCTCTAGATCATAGTGCGAAATCCCTCGAGTTGATTATAATAATGTTAAAATATGTTTATTTTTCTAATTTAAAAAAACATCGACTAATTTAAAATACCATTTATTAAGCTCTAGATCTCCAGTCCAAAATCCTTCAAATGATCAATCATAATGTTTATTGACATCTACTTCTCTGTCTTGAAAATATATAAGTAAATCAAATATATCTTTAATAGATTTCTGGATCACAGTTTTATATACATCAAATTAATTGCATTAATATTTTTTGAAGTTTACTTTTCTGTCTTACAAACATATTGGCAAATCTAATATACTACTCATTGATCTCTAGGTTTGCAGTGCAAAATTCTTCAAAGTAATAATAATAATGTATAATGACGTTTACTTCTCAGTCTTAAAAATTGATTATCCCTTTTAAAAAGAAATTTATTTATAGATGAGATAATGAAGTTGGAAAAAAATTTACTAAAATATATTAAACACAATTTTTCTATGTAGTTCCTCTTCCTGTACTTTCTATTGTATATTTTTTGTTAAGATTTTTAAAATTAAATTCAACTTTATACGTAAATTAAAATGGAAATAACCTTCAATAAGATTATTTCTTTTCTCTTTTTTGCTTTTTTTCTTTCTTTTTTTCTTTTTTCACACAACAAACTTCCTTAAGATACGTTATCGAACGCTTAATATTTATTATTCCGAAAATAACAACTGAAAGTACAGCACTAGTCGCGTTTACTTGTATTGTTGTTCGTTTGAGGTAAGGTGGCAACTCATTGCATCGCTTGCAGCGTTACCATTGTGTACCAGTAATAATGCTTGTAATGTAAAAAATGTAAAAAAAAAATGATAATGAAAACGATAATGCATTTTTGACAAGAGGAAACAAAATGGCAACAGATAATGCATGTATGAACACAGATTTGAGAAGGTGAGTTCGGATGATGACGAAAGTAGCACTGAAATCGCTGGAACTAACAGCGGAAACCGCACAATGCAAATGAAGCAAATGAAGGAAAGTTAAATTTTTTCTATTTTTGCGCATATCCTAAGGCAAATATCGTAATGATTTACTTTGTATGAGTACACCAAAATGAAAAGGTTGAAGTATATTTCAAACACATAGAGTGTGGATTGTGGTACATTGTTACAGGTCGAGTACGTATGGATTACATGACAACATCAAAAGGAATTCAAATCAAACTTTTCGGGTTACATCAATAATCCATTAACATTTTAGTGTACTTCAGCTGTCAAGCAAACCAAAGCTGGATATGTACAAACGGATAAATTGGTTTTATCTTTATTATACATATATCTTTAATTTTTTTTTGTTTTTGTATTATTTGCAATGGAAGCACGCACACAGATACACATACATATATACTTAGGCTATATGCAAATTTAGCGGGCGAAATTATAAGAATGCATTCGCAAAATCATATTGAAATGACAATTTAATGAGTTCATATTAGAATTGAATATGCACGATTATGATTTTGATTCTTGTTTGTTGCAAAGTATTGGAAATTATTGTTAATGTTTCTTTTATATATATATATATCTATATATGCTGAATAAAATGTACATATGTTTTATTTATATTATTTTTTAATGTACGAGTAAATATGTAAACAAGGTTTTATTAACTTTGGATTTTTTTTTATTTTTTAATGTTTGCGATTTTGGAAGCAATTACTCACAAAACGTTTATCTGTTTCGCCCTATAAAAATGAATGTAAGCACATTTGTTATTTTTAAAATTGTATAAAGTTTACCATTAAAAATGTTTAAAGGAAATAAAAAATGAAAAATTTTTAAAAAGTTTTATAAAACAAATTTAAATTAAATTTTATTAAGTTATTTATTACCCAAATACCCAACAGTTTCATTGATCAAAGAAATGAAAAAAAAGTGGTGAAAGCTTGTCATTTTTTATCTGTTCAGCACTACGGGTCACTGCTTAATAGGGAGGCATGCTATGAGACTGGGTCTTCCTTATAATGACCTTTGTCGCGATTGTGGCTCTGAGGACGAGAAGGAAAGGAGATCAAAAATATTGGTTGGTTTTCCTTCACCTAATGGGGAAGTCGTTGCCTTTTTTGGGCGTTGATCGTATACTGTCTATATACGAATATCGCCTTTTCCTGTGGTACCTTAACGGGCCATTATTTGTGCTCAAGTGCGCTTCTTGGTAAACAAGGCCGCCACTCCAACCTAACCTAACCTTGTCATAAGACGTTCTAAGTTGAACAAGAACAACAAATTAATTCACAGCATCAATAAAAAGTATTTATTTTGGGCATGATGTTCAAAAATTATTAATAACAGATTAAGAAGTACTAGACTAAATGAGACAGTACGTTTTTCTTTATTTGCACATAATAACAAGAGAATGTCAATCATCCAATGAACATCTGGACTAAAAACGTGCCTTAATAATTCTCTTAATTTTCTATCTATTACTGACATAAAATGACAGAGTTCAACTTTGGACTCTGGATTTGCAAAATTAGGTATTTAAAGGCTGATATCGCTAGTTGCCATAGGTCTTTACGTGGCTTACAGCCCGCCTTTCAAATTTTCCTTTCCAAACCTAGGTACACATATGAAAAAGGATCATACTTTTTTTATTCTATACATAGAGATTTTTATGGCTGTAAAGTCATAAACAGATTTTTAAGGTCTTCTCACTTACCCCTACCTTATAAACCTATATATAGACATTTTTATGATTGTAAAACCATTAATAGAATTTTAGGTCTCTTCATTCACCTATAGGTTATAAAGTCTATATCTCCGGGTAATTGCCTGCATAGTTTAATTTTCCCTCTTCACCACCATTAACTAGCAAAGCGGTTAAGATAAATTTAAATTTATGAATTTTATACTAAGACTACGAGTATTAATGTCAACTTTTTCACTAGACTACTGAATATAAACAACATCTTTAAGCAGTTGATTCTTGTTTTTGGTTTTGGTTTTCTGGTAGCTCTATGGTATATCGAAATATATCCTCTGAAACTGTGCATGATATATTTTTATAAGATGTTAAATCTCACATAGGTATATCCGTAGTTTTCAGGACCATAAAATAGACCAAACAATCGTCATCAATCAGTACCTTTTTTCTACTGCCGAACTCTAAACTGAACTACTTCGTACTGTGTCTCGTTCAAAATAAAGATAAAGCCATATTGTTGTAATATCTTCAATTCTTAGGTTGTGGGTTGTGAATAGTGAATATAATTGACCTAGTATGAATACCTTGCCTTTAATTTCATTTCACAAATAATTGGTAATCATAAAGCTTTAGTGATTATAACGTATGATTAGTGTCAAAATTTCGTTATTTCCAGAAAAGTACTGTACCGTTCACACCTACGGACCAAATACCATATAGAGATATACATTGAGTGTAGTGCATGACTTGTTTTCACGACAGTTACTTTTTACTATTGCTGATGCATCTATTTTGTTAATTGACATTCTAATATGTGAAAAGAACATTTTCACATATTAGAGTGCTCAAACACTTTTGTTTGAGCACATAATCGGCATGTCAACGGTTCTTGGACGATTTATACTCTTAAATGACAAGCCTTAAACTAAAAATTTAAGATTTTGATTGATAGTTCTTATATTAAAGTTGTTATTAAGAAGATAGATCAACTGACAAGTTTTAGTAACACATTATTTTGTACGATAATCAGTCTTTATTATATGGGAAGGGGTCTTATTATTGTACTTGTAGCAACATTCTACTATAATTCTTTTTATATGGCGTACTCATATTTCTTATATTAGAGAGATCATTAACATTAAATAACTAGTAGGAACTACAGCCACATCCATTATTATTCGAGAATGCCAAGCTTTCCTAAACGATTTAGCTAAACGTGCCAGGGTTCAACTCATATGAGTTCCTGGACATAGGGATATCTTGGGCAATTTAAAGGCGAACGAGCTTGCCAAGGCAGGCGCTCTCCTCTCATATTCACTTCCCAGATATTGATATTCCATCATAGCCAAATAAAACTGTGCAAAAGAATTCTACTGTCAAATCACTGGGTTAACTTAATCTAAATTGAACAAACAACGTACTAGTCAGCTACATCAACTAAGGTGAAACCTGTTTAACACTACGGTATCGGTGCTGATGGTTCACTCAGCATGCTGTGGCATGCTAAAAGATTAGGTTTACCCTGTAATAACTTTTGTCGCGATTATGGGTCTAAGGATGATAACCCTGCCTAGACTATCTTTTACTAGGAGAAGATCTAAAATCTTCGTGGCACTTTTGATTACTGATCAGTCCGAGCTGCCATTCTGCAAAATTAGGAGTAAGATTAGCCATGTTTCTAGAGTTGTCAAATAAGTTTATCGTTACCTAATGTGGAACTCGTTGGTAGCCGCTATTCCAACCTAACCTAAGATCAATTATTAGTGCCGAATACTCACGCTCTCATGAGTATGACGTTCTCAGAGTATAATAGTGTAAGAATTATAAAGAAATGTAAGGTTAGTTACACTTGACACTCATAAGTACGCAGACGTGTTTTATTTAACTCAGAGTCTGACGATAATAATTACTGGTAATTCTAAATATTTAATTTAGATTTAAAAAAGTTTTAGATAATTATAATTAATTATTAATATTGCACTAATCATGACGATCTGAGATTTAAGGCAATCTGTTTTCGATTAATTTCTTGACCAATGACCTGTGGGCTTCAGGTACTTCAAACTAAAACTAAACTATAGAATTTATTAAAAGTTATTATTAAACATAAATATCATAAATAGGAAAAGTTAAGTTCACAACTTTTGTCAAAAATCTTTTTTAATAAATTTTAGAAAAAAAAAATTATTTTTGAATCAAGCAAAATTACACTGAGAAAAATATTGAAATGATTGAAATTTTATTTACACAATTAGAATATACACGACTAAATAAATTGGCTCGATTTAGCAACAGATTTTCTACTGAGTGTAAGATTTTGACATAAGCTGTGTTTAACGAATAAAAATATTAAATAATTTTAATTTAATTTAATTTAGTTAAATTGAATTAATTTGAAGTTTTTAAGTTAATTGAATTTCATGGTGGTGTGTATGTAAATTAGTGTACGAGATATCGAGCAGTATATGTGACCAATATTTGAATATGTAATAGTTTAAGTTTAAATTTAGCGATTATAATTTTAAATAAATTAATTTTTTTTTGTGTAATATTGTGTAAAAAACTGATATTAATTACGAATAAGATGCTTTGAAAATTAAAACAAGAAGCATTTTTAGAATTTTTAGTATAATTTTCTTTACATTCAAATAATCATATTAACACCACTTTAAAGTAAAAAATTGATTATATGTCAATTTGCATAAAATATATATTAATATAATATTTTTTATATATATTATATATATGGTATATAAACATATATAGTAAAATAAAATGAAATGAAAAGTTCACTATAAATTAAAATATTGCATTATTGGGTGAATGGATTAAATGGAAAGCCTACCTGTGTCACTCTAAGCTCGGCCTGTGTACGTCTTAGTTCGGCGGCAGCCTTGTCCGCACGCTCCTGCGCACGATCGAGTTCTTGCGAAGTTGTCATCGTTGTGCGGCCAAATGTTGTCTAATTGTGGAGCAGAAAAATTTTATTAGTTGGGGCGTTCACGATTTTATATGGTGAGAAGTCAGTTGCGAGTGTAACTGTGACTTCCGCACCGAAACTTGTGTAAACATCCAGCAGGAAAATGTGAAAAAATATATTTACAAAAATGGATCTTTACGTCTTGATTGATTTTTGAATGTTGATGGTTATTTTATTTATAATTTATTCCAATTTAATTTATTTATGTGTTATTTTAAATAATTCTGAAATAAAATGTTCCATATGTGTTTTTTTTTCAGAAATCAATCAAAATTATACAATTTTAATGTTTATACAAAAATGCAAGTGTGATGAAAAAATTGATTTGGGTATTTACAAACGGTTTAAAGTGCATTTAACGCTTTTACAACTCTTTGAATTTTCTTAGCAATCAGCAATTCAATGACTCTTAATCCCTTTTATTGCGCAGATTTACTTCATACCTATTTTAGTACAATTTTTTTTTATTAATTGGAACTCTCAAATTACAGATTATTACAAATTTACTGTCTTTGATTTTTAAATCTAGTATTTTTTATATACTATATGCTATATCGATACTTCTTATAATATTTATCGGTTCAAAATTCCAAAATTCGATTTATTGAAAGGTAATTGAACTTTTCCTTGACAATCACAAACCACAAGTCAATATAATGGACGAATGCTTCACTTTGTATTTCAAAGAATCAAAGAAGAATTTCAAAGAAATTATTGTACTTTAATAATATCTGTTGGTGTAGAATTCTAGATCTCATATAGTTCAATGATGAGGACACTATAGATATTTTTTAATAATTACAATCCATGAGTACGGATATTTTATTTTGTATTTTTCAAAATTTTTATGTGTCAATGTTCTGTAGTAATATCTATCAGTTAAAGACTCCAGAGCTCATTCGATTCAATAAAAGCTTAGATAATTAACACGTTAGAACTGTTTTTTTTGCTTTATGACACCCATGTTTTCTGATTCTTAAATTCTTCCTCTACTGTCATCCTCTTTCGTGTCATAGTCATTTTTTTTACTTATACGCTTCTTTTTCCTACTTAATGCATACACTTACATACACATTTAAATTGAGTTGAGCACTAGAGAACAACTAGAAGCAACTAGCAAATACAAAAACTATGTACAATAAAAATAAAATATGACGGTCACGATGAATAAAATAGAGGCCTACAAATGTAAGAAATCAACAAAATGTAATATATTTATAAAACGTTCTGTAATAATTGGTAGAGAGGTTTGGTAGATTCTATTAAATAAAATAGTCACTTCCGTCATAACAGATGTCAAATTGGAGCTTATATTAAAAAGTTAATTGTATAAAACTAGTCTATTCATATACATTGTTCTTATCTACATTTTACTTTTAATTAGAATATAAATTTGAGCGTCTATTTGAATTTTAATTCATACATAGTTTAATTTTTGGAACAATCTTGTAGATTTGATTTCTTTTTATACTTTATTTCTATGATATTTCAGTTCAATCTTTTCTTATTTTCACATTGTAGGATTTTTGAACCTTTACTTTCAAATCCAGAATACTTGCATTATATACGTATAAGACTATCAAAATATATTAGAAAAATAGAAGAATATCAATACTCAAAACAAGCTATACAAAAAAAATATTTGAGGAGGTAATTATGGACTTATATAGTTTATTACTACTTAAAAATTTTTTTTATCTATTAATTATATTTTATAAATTATTTAATTGAATTATACATCTGATATATAAGGAGGAGGATATAAAAAGATAGATCTTTGTGTCTTTTTATTATTCATTTTCTATTTCTTTTCACTCTAAATCTTTGTGGCTTTCTATTATTTATTTTCTATTTCTTTTCATCTTATTCCTTGCCTTCTATCGTCTATTTATTTTTATGGAGGATGAAATAAAAGGATAAATCTTTGTGTCTTTGTTTTATTTATTTTCTATTTCTCTTTATCCTATTACTTCCCTTCTATCGTCTATCTATTTTAAAGGTGGAGAAAATAAAAAGATAGATCTTTGTGTCTTTCTTTTATTAATTTTCTATTTCTTTTCACCCTATCACTTTTCTTCTATAGCTTATTTATTTTTAAGGAGAATGAAATAAAAGGATAAATCTTTGTGGTTTTCTTTTATTTATTTTCTATTTATTTTCACCCTAAAACCTCCCTTCTATAGTTCATTTATTTTTAACGAAATAGAAAGATAAATCTTTGTGTCTTTCTTTTATTTGTTTTCTATTTCTCTTTATCCTATTACCTTATTTCTCTCACGAATCTATTTCCAAGGCGGAGAAAAAAGAAGAATAGATCTTTGTGTATTATTTTATTGATTTTCTGGTATTTATTTTATTCTTCTTTTCTTCTACTTATGCTCAATGTTATTGGCTAATCCTCTAAATGATGTATGAAGTACCTTAGCATGAAGGAACGTTGATATAATATTAATGTGAACTTACCGATATTTTGCCAGATTCAAACATTAATTTTTGTACCGACTGAAAAATTTTACATTTAAAAACAATTAATAGTAAATTTTAAATTTGTTTAATTTCTTTAAGTTTTTGTTTTTTGTTTTGAGTTCAGGCATACTTTCTTAGCTTAGATGAATTGAAAATGAGCATTCACGGAACATTTTCCAAGCTCGACTACTGATTTCAGATGAGCGCAGGGAATAAAAGGTGCATTAATATTGGCGATTGCTAATTTATTTAAAAATTTTGAATTAATATTAATAATTATTTAACAAAGTAACGTGTATTAAAAATTTTTATTTTTGTGATTTTATGTTTTGTTTTTGTTTTATTTTTTTTTTTTTTCTGCAGTGCTAATTTATTTTACAAAAATTCATTAAACCAAAACCATTCAAACTTTTAATGTTGATCATTACAATTTACAAATGTAGTTTTAAACTTAATGAAGCAATAAAACGTGATACTAAATAAATTGCAATTAGTGAAACTATTTTGTATGCAGTGCAATGTCAAAGGTCAAACACAGAATCAAGAGTTGAGATACAATTAAGCTGCTGTGCGTGATTCTATGCTGTGACTGCTTCACTTTTGAATGCTTTGATACGTGTGTTTCCTTCCATAGAACCTAAAGGACATTTGTGTTCAAATTTATGATTCGTAACGAAACACAACAAAAACAAAAAATAAATATTAAAAATTTAATCATTTTAATTAAACTACGTAAAGGACTAATAAAATTTAATGGGTTGACTGGATACCTTTCTGTTTGATGATATGTAATTGCTAGGCTCGAAAAAATATTTCTAGGCTCTATTATATTCTCATTTGTGAATGGTTTTTCTTTTATGTTGATCAAGAATAATTAATACATATAGGGGTTCTCTAATGAAGATTATTGTTAAAAAGATGATATTGGTCAAAAAAAACTTATAGATACAGAAGATTACGAAGACTATGGTCAAAAAATAATGTTGGTCAAAAATAACTAATAGATACAAAGATTCTGTAACAAAGATTATTGTCTTTGATAGAATTTTTTGATTAAGACTCTTTATAAAACTACACATCATCTAATTTTTTACAAAATATGTTTCTTATTTTGTACAGTAGTTATGTTATGTTAAGACTTTTCGAGTTAGTGCTTCTGGGCACTATTAATTCTGCAGAGTCCCGCCCATCTCACTGACTAATTTGAGTATTCCTAATAATCTTCATGATTATTCAATGATTGATCTAATATCTGCGTACCGGCCCATGCGGTTAGTGATTACTCTGAGATTAGATAGCGCTAAGTAGGGCAGCCTTTCGGTTTTCATGTGCATGTACATTGACAGTAGTAAATTACAACAATACAATTTTATTTATATACATTTGTATACTTTTTATTGTATATATTATTGCATTTATTGCACTATATAAGCATATTAAGTCACATACTTTAATAAAAAATGTAGGAAATCTTTTAAAACTATGGTTGTGTACTATAATTGTATTTTAAGCACATATTGTATTTCCATATAAAATATATTAAGTAAGATTATGTTAATCTGGTTGATCGTAAGTCATATATATGACTAGGAACCACCTTAGCGATACGATATGGAACTTAAGCGTTTAAGCGTCAAAAGTATTTGGAATTCTATTTCTGAGATGGAGTCGCTAAACATTTTATTGAAATAGATCCACTATGCATTTTTTAAAGCAAATATTAAGATCAAGCCTTATAGAGATTTGCATTTGATGTAGGATGTTTCTTCGGTATGAAGAAGTTTCCTGACCAAACTAATACAAAATAAAGCTATAACACCTCTCACTTCAAAACTCATTCGGTTTAGTGAGAGTCAAATAGATATATTGGACTCGCTTAGTTTATAATATAAAAGGTCTCTATATAACATTGATTTATTTAATAGAAGGTTTTTGGAAACTAATTCAGAGTCCATAGAGAGAATAGAGAGAGAGAAAAAAAAAGTGAAAGAAGAAGGAGAAAGATGTTTGTGTATAAATAGAGAAATTTATTTTCAAGACTGTAGGTATTTAAATGCTAGAGAGAGAGAGAGAGTGTGAGTTTGAAAGAGAAAGAAAGAGAGAGAAAGAGAGAGAGAGAAAGAGTGAAAGAAGAAGGAGAAGGATATCTGTGTATAAATACAGAAATTTCTTTTCAAGCCTGTAGGTATTTAAAAGAAAATTTTGATTCTGTTTTATTAAACTATGAGTCTTGATTCTTCTTGATTCTTTTTCTTCTTGAGTTAATGCTATTACGCACTTTTACTCTATAATTTACTCTATAATGGCTTATCTCTACCCCACACTAGGCTTTAACTAAGCTAAAAAAAAAAACATATCATTTATTTGTCTTTTAGTTGATGACGGACCTTAAATCAGCATATTTTCCTGAGTATAACTATATTAAACAAAAATTAGGATGTATTGGTATTTCTTTTCCTTTAGGTGTTATTTATTTATTATTAGAATGGACGATAAATTTTTCGAAACTAAAAGTTTATTGTATCTGGTTGAAATCTGTTTTATTAAACTACGAGTATAACTATATTAAATAAAAATTAGGAAATTACTAATTATGTATAAAGGATTCTAAATTTTTGTGTATTAATACCATAAGGTAGAGTTTTTGAGTTCTTTTTGTTTGGATTATTCTAAAGATGTTTGTCTCTACGTAATTGACTTCTGAAGAGTCCATTTGAAACAAAATTAATTTGATAGCTCTTAATGTTAAATAAATTCTATTTTCATTTTCATTAAAATAAATTCAAAAAAAAAAAATGAAATTAAATGTAGGAAGATGTCCTTGAACTTTTATGGATTCAAAACCTGCTACAGTTCACTTTTTTTTTATTCGAAGCATTCAAAAGCTGTCTATGGTGCGGAAAAAGCTTTTTCTTTTATTAGAAAAAAAGTCATTTGGCATAATTAGTATTCACAAATAAGAAAAAAAGAAAACAAAGAACAGAAAACAAAAAAAGAATAGTGAAATATAAATAATAGTAATATTAAGAGAATAATAGTTAAAAGTACATACAGTGAATGTGAAGCAATTTAGTGTAAATGACTTTTTTTCCATTCTTATTTTAATTTTTTTTTCTCTATTAAATTTAATACGAACAAACTATGTTTAATCAAGCTATTCCCTGCTGGCAACACTACGTATCTTTTATATTTTATATTTTACATTTCATTTCTATTTTTAATTCATAATTCAAAACGTTAAACTATGATTTGTAAGAATTTAAAAAAAGGATAAAATCTTACTTTATGCAGTGAGGTTTGTTCTTCTAGCTGCAGCTATTTAAATGGTTGTAGTATTTGGTAGTAGTAGTTATATGCGAGTACAAAAAAATAGTAGTAGTAGTAGTAGAGGTGATAGGTAGGTAGGTGGTTGGTTGGTTGGTTGGTTGGTAGTAGAGTAAACGAGTAAGTGTACATGTAAATAGTAATTGGTTTTTGTTTTTTTTAAATATACAATTAGGACATATATATATATATATAATATGTTAATGGAGTACATATACAACAATAAAAAAATTTTTTTTTGTCTAAAAAATAAGCACATAGATATATACAGTTAACTAAATTTTGTATATATACACTCTTATAAGTAATGATCAATGTAAAATTGGATTTTGTGCACGAGTACCTGGGAACGTTCCAAATCGTGTTTCAATCGCTCGTTCTCCAACTCCAAACGTGCAATCCGTTGTTTTGTCGCTTCCCAATCGGCGTTGCTGCGTCCCATTTCACATGTTGCCTTTTCGAGTTCAGCTTTCGATTTACCCAATTCACTCTGTGAGGCTTCGAGTTTTATTTCAAGACGTTCACGTTCGGTGACTGCACGTTCAAGGCGTGTATTAAGTTTTTCAACTTCACTCTCCACTGCGCGTAATTTAATTTTATAATCGGCAATCTCGCGTTCATGTAATTCACGTTCCTCTTGTTTGTCATGTTCGGCACGATCTCGCTGCTCTCGCAATTGAGTCATTTGTTTCTCTTTATCGCCGATAGCTTCTTCAAGACTTGTGAGAGCGCCCTCTGAACTACTGTGGTGTGCTTGCATTGCTGATAATCGTGCACGTGCCATATCAACTTGATTATCTTTTTCTTTTAAAAGATCTTCAAGATTTTCAATCTATATAGAGAGTATAATAATTATGTATATTTCAGGATTTATAATTTTGTGGGATTCTTTATTGGAGAATTGATTGGGTATTACATAGTTCAACTGAAAAAATTGTTGGGCAATATTGGGTATATAAAAAACTAGAGACGTGGACTTTCAATTGAAATGGAGCAGTTCGACCAACAAATATTTTATATTGTAAAATTTCTTTAATTTATATGATAAAAGAAAGAGAAGTATAAACAATGGAAGAAATTGTTAAAGTCATTGCTGTCTTCTTAGAAATTATATAATGTATAGAAGATGACATTATTATCTATATATTTATATTTGGTGAAATATATCTACTAATATTTAATAGAAGATCTAAAGTCGCTGATGTTTTTTTAGAAGTTTTAAATTCCATTTATTAGGAGATTATTTTCTTATTTTTTCTCATATTTTCAAAAACCCATATCTGATAAAATAAAGAAGTTGATAATAATGCAAAAATTTCATCACTAATATGTTTTTAGTCAGTAACAGTAAAATAGAAAATACTTAGTGAACTTCATACGTTATGAAAATAATCATTTTCAACGTATATATTATATATATATATTGTATATATATAGTGTATTTATTACAAAATTATGTTTCAAAAAAAATTATTTAAATAGTTTGTATTACAAATTATTTATCATTAATACCACTTTAGGTAGTGGACTCATTTAAGTGAAGATTTTTGGAAACTAATTTAAACTTCATATGGAATCATTTATTTGGAAAAAGTTCATTATATCTAGTATAAAATGGTTCGTAATATTTAAGAGGGACTTGAACCATAAATCACTTCAATTCCCTGGTCATCTATACAAGTGATATCGGATATATACATCAGGAAAGGAGACTCCTAAGTAGATGGACGAATTCATGTGCGGCCCGAGCAGTAATAGTGTAAATTTGTCGTTGGAAGTAGCCCATAACCTAACAGTTTCTAGATTTACCATCTAGAAAGGTTGAAGTTTGAACTTTTTGAAAAAAATAAAACAAACGTCTAAAAAATATTTCAATTAATCTGATGTATAAATATAATGATTTATGTGTTATAAGATAAATATTATGACCCACGGCTGATACTGTAGTCATAGGAAGCAGCCGATATCCAAACAGAATCTATCACAAAGGTTGGAGTCGAAAATTTTGAAGTTTAAATTAAAAAGACTAAGATCTGTCAATCAGTAATTTTGGATTCTAAATTGTTTATTAAAACCGAATTGTTTATATATTGCTTGGGTTTAAAAATACGTTATAATTTAATGAACCATACTTCAAAATTGCGACAAAAATATTTACTGCCTTTGACACTCAGGGTATTATATTGTAAATATAATGCTTGCTTTTTAATGCCAAGTGCCATAAATGGACTTTAAAATTAATTCCAGTAATGTTGTTGATTGTCATATTTATATATAGACACAATATAATCGCAGGGGTAGTATAGATATGTTGTTTTTCGGATGTTTTATATTCAAAAACAGTTTCAACGGACAGCATCATTTTTTAACGAAATTTTGTTAAGAAACTTTTTATATATTATTATTATTAATTTATATATTAATATTTCATAATATAGAATTTTATATAATATTATTGGTATTATTGATTTAAGTAATATAATATATAAAATAGTTATATGAAAGTTTAATGGATAGAACTACTATTGAATTAGTATTACTTGCTAGCAAAATACTCCTATATATTTAAATATTAAACATACTACACATAATTACTATAAATATATATAACTGGACTTGATGAAACATTCATTAGATATTAGCATTAAGGATGGTTTTTATATAAGGATTATTTGGATTTATTTATGGCGCACCTTTCTTTGTAGTACATTAATTTTACGATCTTTTATATCCATGTGATCCTTTAGTTCAGTCAGTTCACTGGTTAGGCGATTACGTTCCTGCACAGTTTGTAATGTGCCTTGTGTTTTCTTCTCAATAAGCCGATTTTTCTCTTCCAGTCTGGCGCGCATTTCCTCAACATCGGTCTGTAGCATATTATAGTGTTCTTCCTTGGCACATAGTGATTCTTTGAGAACAGCTATGTGCCGCTGATAGTCCTATTTTATTAAAAATATACATAAAATAGCAGGAGTAAGATAGAGACAATATTGGGGATTGGGGGTAAATGTTTTTCAATTATTTACAAAAATTATTTAAAATTTTTTTTTCTAATTTGTTATTGTTTTTTATCTTCACCAATGCTGTGGCCAATTATTTACCTGATGCTGTTCTTCCAATGTTTTCATTTTGGCCGCCATCGCCAATATTTCTTGATCCCTTCTTTGTATTTCAAGACGGAATTCGTCCAACTTTAAAATCATATATAAAAATTTAAGAAATAAAGAAAATTTTTGAATGAATATAAATTTTTTATAGTTTTTTTTTATTTTTTTATAGAGATTTCAATTCAATTGAAGTGTGTTTGGATTTAATTTGTCTAATGGCATACGTAATATGTAGCAAAATGCATGGCAGTGTTAGTTTCTGGGATAAGTTTGTATGATATCTGATATTTGATATTTGAATGAGAGTTGTGTTAGCTTAAATTTAAAAATGTTTATGGCCAAATGGACGAAATTCGAGTATCAAGTGTGGAATGTTCAGATGTTCACATGGTGTGATATCAAATGAAACCAGCATGTAGCGCAATGGACTCAATGTGAATGTCCTTTCATTTTTTTTTTCTTTTTGTTGGCAACAAATAAATTTGTTTTTCTTTCTTACTAGCAGAGACCGCTACTGTATATTTCTGTGTATTCTGGTATTCTGTACCCTGTGTGGTGTGAAGTGAAGTGTGTATTGTTGGGTATTTTTTGTTTTTGGTGTCTCTGGCTTCACCTATGGGTTGTCTTGGTAGCCCAGTGTTTCCATGGAATTAAAATAATATTACTTTTGCATTGCCAAAATATTATGGTTTGTTTACGAGAAGAGATTTGTTTGTTTGTTTATTTTTATTTAAATTCATTTTATTTATTTCAATAAAAGTTTTAAGAGTTTATAATATATATATTTATTTTTTTTTTGTTTTGTTTTTTCATATAATCTTAACAATAACTTTTTGCATAATAGTTTAATTAATAATTTGACTCAGTTTATTATTTTTGTAAAAATACTGTTGGAGTATGTACTGTTAAGTACTAAAATAAAAATTTTATATAGAATAAATAAGTACTTTATTTCATACGAGTATTGCAATTGTTAATAAAATTATTTAAAATAAATAAATATTTTTTAAATTATTAATATTTAATATAGTTTTAAGCAATTAATTCTTTTTGTTTCGGTTTTCTCTATATATATTTTTTCTTTTATATTAGTCAGTTAGTTATAGTATATAAGTAATAATACATGTACATATTTTTATATATATATATTTTTATTGTTTTTGTATTGTATTTGAATTTGTATTAAATTAAAGTAAAAAACAGTCAGTATATATGTAAAATTATGTACTTTTATAAATGCATACATGTTGTCCATTCATTGAATGATTTTTTATTAGTAAATTGGCTAGTCTGAGCTATGTTAATAATTAATATATTTGAAGTATATCATTAAAATAGTAAAACATTGTTATATTCATATATGTATAGCAAATAGCAAATTCAATCAATAAAGTATTAGCAACAATTTAATTAATAAAAGCTACGCTTGTAAAGTATTCAACTATAAAGATTTAAGGTTATTCACTTATTTAGGTTTCAATAAATTTTTTTAACGCTACACAACAAAGTTTTTAAAACGCTTTTAAGGACATAATAAAATCGTTGAAGTTTTTTTTTATCGTTGCAAACTAAGTTCACAGTTAAGGTAAAGAATTAATAATATTTTTTTTGGGAAAATTAATTGATTCAAGAGTTGAAATAATTACTAATGATAATACTTATTAATATCTTGTATAAATTTTTGACTTATATAAAAAGTATTTAAGTATGGTTAAAATTCTGTTTCTAGGAATCCACGTAGTCGTTTTTACTTATCGTGTGACCTTATAAAACTTATAAAGTTTGAAGTCATATCGAACCTTTGATAAAACACACTATGCTCTTCAGTGAACAGTTTTGCAACTCACAAAGATCCTATACAGAACTATGTGTTAGTATGCTAAACCCAGACTGCACATATCCTGCACAATGCCAAAGCAGATGTGAGTAGAAGTTAGTTTTTTGTAAGATTTGACAATTTGAACAATTTCAGCGGTTGTTAAACGATTTATGTTCTAAATTGGCAAACTTTAAATGGCAATGGGATGATAATTTTATTGGATTTGTAACTATAATGCTAAATTAGAGTTATAAAATGGTTAATCCTTTATAATATTGCAAGCTTTTATTAGTGTTATCATTATTATGAGTAGAAAGGATACTGGTTCATTGCTACCTAAAAGTTCTTGTTGGTTAAGGCCTATAGATCATATTCGGTTGAATAAGATCCAGACAGAGATACTAAATTCATTACCTGACAATTGCCAGATTTGTTGCAAGATACGTTAGTATAAGATTTTTATTTAAATTAGCTAAGCGTAATAAAAACTTTCCATTATTTTTTCACATACGTAGTCGAACCTCTCCATAATGTATTTGTTGGCACCTGCAGTATACTTTGTTATAATGATAATAAAGTACATTATTTATAGCATTCAATTACTACTATATATCAATAGTTAGAGTTTACATCAATAAGATAAGTTATTATCGGAATATTGGCTGTTATCGGAGTGATGCGACCATGACAGCTCTTTTGTACTGTTGATCGAACCTAACTGAATAGAATATAATCCGCTTTCGAATGAGGCCTTCAATATCAGCTATTAAGAGTTTTCTTATATTCGAAACTTTGAAAATTTCAAGCAAGGATATGGATTCTCTACCAAATAATTTCTTCTTTCTTGTCCCGATAAAAGCCGGACACCCGCAAGGAATATGAAGTCTTTATTCACATTAAATAGTTGATACAGTTCAGAACTATTAGAGATTTCATTTATAAGTATATAAGTATATAATTCAAATTTAATTATAATAACATAAATAATAATATAAAACTAATACTCATTTCATTTGGAAGAGTTGTCAATTTTTGTTTGATTGGCTGAAGTTATAGGTAAATATAGAGAACAAGAAAATTATTCTTTTTCAAAAAAATATTTGACTGCTTAAAAATTTTCATTATAGAGAAAAATTCGCTGTAGAGGTTCACTGTGTAGAGATTCCAGTATAATATATTGTAAAAATCAAAGTTGTTTTAACGTGACTTCATTATAAAGATTAATTCCTTATAAAGGATTTCAAGTTTGAGAAAAAATTGAAAATTTGGAAGTGTTTTCCAGAAATCTTGAATGGTTCGAGATAACGACGTTCGTTACAGAAAGGTTCACTACAAAGAGCTTCACTGTAAAGATAATCAAATATAAAATATTGAAATATCGCAGTTATTTCAAAAAAAATTTTTTTATAGAGATCCATTCGCTATGTATATGTACAAATGCATGATACCGAAGCCGTAGACGTTAGTGTCTTCAAAGAACTTTGTTATATTATTGTTGTTGTAATCCGCTGGGAACTGCTTGCAGATTCCCTTTGGGGGTGGTGAACGGCACTTGGTCGTCGTAGTTGACGAGTAACTTTGGGACGTAGACCCGGCCGTTCTTGGAACTTGGTTCTAGAAAAGTTCACTTTAATTCGCTATAAAAAAAGTTTCAATACAAAACAAATTGAAAAAATTGCATTGTGTCAAATAAAACTTTTTAAAAGAGATTAATTGATTGCAGAGAGGTTTGCTTTCAAAGTATAAAAATCGATTAAAAAATCGCAGTGTCTTCAATTAAACTTCATTTTAGAGAGTAATTCGCTATAGATAAATTAGTATAAACTCTAAAGAGTTTATACAGTAGTGATAACTACTGTTATAAAAAACAGTAGTGAAAAAATCACAGTCTTTACAACAGGAGATCATAATTAAAAATAAACTATAAACTTGTGTTTATAGCAATGTTTAGTCATGACTGTTGGGGGTCAAGTATCGCATATGAACTTTGAAGTAATTATATATTTTTTAATAGACTATATTTTTTAAGTATGACAAACTTGTTTGGGTTGTAATAAATATCCTGGTATTAAATAATTTTAAATTATTACAACAGTAATTATAAATGAATGAATTAAATTATAATTTATATAAATAAACAATAATCGTCATGAAATATTAACATTCTCTTGAATCAATTAATTCCCATTTTAAGTATATAATTTCAATATAATAAAATTGAAAGTATTTTATTAAAAGTCAAGTAAAATGTTAAGTATATAATCAAAACTATCTAAGCAAATAAATTATTTAATATAGTTAAGTTAACATTAAATGTTACTTGTATGTACTAAGAGAGTAAACATACACTATAATTACACAATATTGTATATAATTTCCATAGATGTAATATCATTGTTTATGCATGTACGTTTATCTAAAATAATGACAGTTTACAACATTCACAATACATACATTGTTTTCGTTTACAATACGTACGTACGTTACGTTACGGAACGCCATTGTTATAGCGTTTACGTCGTTTACGTGCTTGTTTACTATTTTTATTATTTTCGTTTCTTTCATTTTTTTTCATTTTGTTTTTTATCAACATTTCATTGTAATTGACCTTCATTACTAATCACACTCTAGTTAAATACAATATAAATATATATATATATGTACTCATATATTGTAATACACATAAAAGTAATTAATTACGCACTTAATTATTGTATGCTCATCGTAGTAATTGTAATAATAATAATCATAATTATAATCATAATTATAACAATAATTATAATAATTGTTTTAATGAAAAATCTTAATAAAAAAGTTTATTTAATACTCAGCAATATTTTTTTTTTATTTATTTATTATTTTTTTTTTGTTTTTTTTTTATTTTGTAATACAAAATTTGTTTTGCTTCTTCTTACAGAAACGCAGCATTTGAATGTCGTTTCTATTGGTTTTGATTTAATAAATGTTCGTAGGCATGTTATAAATAAAAAATAAAAAAATTTCAATTAATTTCAATTTGTTAATACATGTATGTAAAAATTAATATATATATTTACAGTCTTATGTAATTGGAGTGAAGACAATTCGAGCAAAAATTACTTCTTGCTGCCTGGAAATTGCCCTGAGTTCTCTGCAAACAGCTGATTTTCCCTTTTTCTTATCATTTGAACTACTGCTAATGGAGAAATGTGCTCACCTCTTTAAATGCTAGTTTAATTGAGTTTAATTTAATTTTTAGGAATTCCAACTAATTTATATTGTTCTT